GTTCCGTGTGTTACGTTGACCAAGGATCGAGCGCCCATACGTGTTTACTGACACGGAACGTACGAGCGTAACACGTAAAGCACTTCAGAATACACTGAACCAACAGCAGTTCTTGGAAGCTAACGAGCGCATGTATATTCCATAACACTACAATAGTTATATAAATATAAACTATACAGTTATAGTGGCCATCCATCCTCTCTGTTATCTAAAAATAAAACGCAACCTATGGTTCTTTACCAAAATACGAAATGAAAACTTCATGCTCACAATACAATGACGAATCACATGGGGAAAGAAAATTATGGGTTTATATGAACATTCACTGTATTTCGCTGTTTTAAAAAGTGCTAATATGTCAGACAAAAAAATTGACGGGATTTCAAATCATATTTGTCTTCTTCTTTAAATAAATTCAAAAGAAACATTTTCCCTAGTGCATGCAAAATGCCGCAGGACACATACGCGAAGAAGATGGAAAATCAAATATCTCCGTTTGAACGTTAAAAATTGTTGTAGTTTCTTTGAACCAACGACGTTAGGTAGCGGGAAAACCCATTGTTCCCTGAGTTGCGTCTAGGACAGGTCATTTTTCACAGCATGTTTCAAACACTTGTGATGGTGTCGGGGGTCGGTTCGTCGCGGCTGCGCGCGGAGAGAAAGCAAACACGGGCGGCCGGCGGTCGCGCTCGTTCGCACGCGCAGCCACACACGCACGCGCGCTCGCTCGCGCGTGTTCGCGCCGCACGCGGGCGCACGTGCACGCGGGGCAGCGCTGCATTCGCTCGAAGCTGGCGGCGATCGCTGACGCGGCCGCAATCTCCGCATCTGCGTGAGCGTGCGCGCGCGCGGAGGCGACTAATCTGCGCGGCACGTCTCCGACGCGCCAATGCGCGCACGCGTGCGTCCCGGCACGCCCCCGCCGCCCACGCGGCGGCCACATACGACGCGCCGCGACGCGCCGGCTGCGGGGTGCTCGAAGACTGAAGCGAGGATATGCCACGACTGGCTGCTTTCCTGCGGAATTCAATTGAGTGGCCCGCCCAGTCGATTCAAGCGTAATTTGTCTTTTAACAACTCTTAATATTGATGTACTACTACTGGTTTGTCACAAAATTTAGTTCGGATGTCGCATACGACGCGCTGCGACGCGTCGGTTGCGGGGTGGTCGAAGGCTGAAGGGAGGATATGCCACGACTGGCTGCTTTCTTGCGGAATTCAGCGATGGTGTAACGGTTAGCGTACCGAACTGTTGTACCCAAGTTGACGATCGAAGCCGTGGATTTTTAAGGGCGAAAAAATCCTTCATACGGACCCTTCCTTCGGAGAAGTAAAGCCGGCTGTCCCATGTTAGTAGATTTACTTCCATGTAAAAGATCAATCCTAATTGAAATCGCCTGTTTCTCCTCCAAGAAATACCTCCTTTCTCTGCTAGTTGGTGAAAGGATCGTAGCGAAATTTGCGTGGTCAGACAGAAGAGCTGGTCTCATGGCCTGAGTCCAACTACGTAAAATAAGGCATCAATTCAAATCAGTTGAGTGACCCGTCCAGTCAATTCATGCGTGATTTGTCATTTAACAACTCGTAAGAGTGATGTACTACTCTTGTTTTCTTACAAAGCTCAGTTCGACTGTCTTCCTGGTCCATACAAGCTGAATTTGTGGTTTCATGCGGCTGAAGGGGGATACACACTGCGCTGGTTCTTTGCGACATTTGGTTGAGCAATCTCCCGGTCGATTCATGAGTAATTTGTGGTTCTGAACTCCTTGAAGGGTGATATACGACTGGTGGTTTCTTACAAAACTCAATTTGGATTTCTTTCTGGTCAAGTGGAATACAGATGTC